AAAAGGCAACATGAATTTGCAATTTGCAATAAATTTTGCAATTTATATATAAAGATGTGTAAACAATACAAAAAAGAGGGCTGATTTCAGAAAAAGTAAATGATCAAAAGCAAAAGTTTTCTTACTGGGACTGTCGGCGTTTCAAAATGTAGATCTTGTAGATGACAAAAAGTAGAGCCACAGACGTGAGGATGATGAGGAAGACCAGAAACCCAATGACAGCTTTGTCGTTGTCTGTGAAATAATATTAAAAATTACATTTACATGAAAGACAACATTTGTAGAAACGTGTGCTTAAAATGAGACGAAGCATTTATGTCAGTAAACTGTATCATTAATGAAAACAGGACGTACACAAAGTGCTGATTTCACTTGTTTGAGGGATGCTCTCATAGTGTCCGTTGTGAGCCGTCACCTTTAAAGACAGAATGTCAGTTCACTGTGAATTACAACATTCAGGAGTCTAAAATAATATTTATAAGCATAATATCTTCTTATTAAACCAAAAATGTTGGATTTAACAAACCTTCACTTTGTAGCTCGTAGAGTAGCTCAGATCTTTGAATTCGACTTCACATCGTGTACAACTCTGCTTCTCCTCCTTTGTCACTTCCTTATCATCAGCTGTATTTAGACGTATTATATATTTTCCCTCAGGTCCGTTGAATGTAGAGGGTCTGTGCCAGCTCACTTTGATCGTATTATGTTCGTGAACGTGTAATTTCAGCTCAGTGACTGCAGCAGGTTCTGTAAGAGAAATTTAAAGGAAGCCATATTTAAAGTAAAAAACTGACAGACCTGCGACCCTTTGCTGCGTTTCCTTCCTGTTTATCTTCACTGCTCAAATATCCAGTGAGAAATAAATTCTAACATTATGTAATAAAAAGTTTGATTACTTACTTCCAACCTTAGTTTGCAGTTTAACTTCACCCCCAGTGGAAACTTGAATCTCGTTGTATTTGGCTCGGACTCGACAGGTATAACCAGTAAATGGATTTAATCCAGTAATAACACACGTTCTTCCATCAGGACCTGTAACTGTAACATAATTTCCATGAACCATGTGAAGTGTTATAGATTTAAATCAACATCATCATGTTAAGAAACTGTAAATGACAAATGTCAGGTTAAAGTTTCACAAACACATCAGCTGGTAGTTCTGTCAGCTGATCCATAAACTGGCACAAACCTGTTTCACTTACAGTCTGTTCCTGCTGACATGAAGCACTGATGCTACAAGCTTCTCATAGAAACTACGTACATGTCAGAAAAGCAACAGACTGACAAACTGTTTGTTGCTTTTTATAAAGACAATTACATTTCAAACATCAGATGTTACCTTCAAACAGCTCAAAGCTTCTCATCATTTCTTCTGTGTGAAAAAGTGAACTCGACTCTGATGTTTCAGCGTTTATTCTGTTTTATATTTGCTATTTATTTTAATAACTGTATTTATTCACACCCAGTCAGAGGTTTGGTTTTTCACCTGCAGTCAAAGCATCATGAACATAAACACATAAGCGGAGAAGCCGTCTCACTCACCTTTACCTGTCTGACCATCACAACTGCAGTCATAAGAAAGCTTATGAAGGAGGGGAAGGACCTGTTGACAGTTCTTACTGGTTGTTTTCCAGCTGAGCTCAATGGAAGTACTGGTTAAATCCTTCTTTATGTTGGTTATTGTAAGATCTGTTGGAACAAAGTAAACATCAGTAACAGTGAACAGCGTTTCCTTTGCTTCAAACTGTGTGAGAATAAAAGCTTTTATTTTGATGAGCTAAAGGAAATATAAACTCACCACAATCAACCCTGACGTGGACAGATGGAGTCGTCTTATTTATGCTGATGCTGTTCTGTAAGATCAGACCAGTACAGCTGTAGTCTGTGAACGGCTCCAGCTCAGACAGTTTCACATCAGCTTTGTTATTTTCTGAGGAGACACAAAGATGACGTCATTGTTGGTCCTCAGTGTGTGAACATTCATCCTTTGGGTTTAGATTCAAACGTGAACACATTCAAAGAAATAAATCTGAACAGATTCACAGAGAGCACAGAGCTCGTGTCTCTAACTCGTAAAGTTTCCTTTTACCTGAACAGGTGTAACTAACTGAGAGGTTTTTACACTTTGGTAAATCAGGTAATGTTGTGGTAATTTCTGCAGGAAGTCCAGTGGGTTTAATCTGCTGTATTTCACTGGGATTTAAGAAATCTGTGGAAAAAATGAATGAAGACAAACATGATTAAATGAGGTGTAAATGTTTGAATCTCAGAGCAGACGTGGACTCGTTCGTACGTACCAACACTGATGCTTTTGGTGAAGCTAAAGGAAGAGCCTCTGCACTCTCCTGGAGTAAAGGTTACAGTCAAATCTGAGCAAATGTCCTCGTTAGCAGGTCTGACACAGAAAGTCTTCTCATCATTTCTACATCGTACAACTGAACGGTTATTTGGTGTTGATATTGAAGAGCTGATGTTCCAGTCACTTCCATAACAAACATATCCGGGGATGCAGCTGGTTTCAGTAACGTCTCTTTCACCTGAATTAAACAAGTGATGCACAAATGTGTCAGTTTATAAAAGATTCATTTGTTAAGTTAAAAGAAGATGGATGTAAAACACAAATATATGAATTAATTGAACTCACTCATTGGATCTGTTCTAAATGTTTTTTCCGTAGAGCGACAGAATATTTCTTTTCCAGTATCATTTAATGAAAGTGTTTCAGTAAATGAAACATTAAGACTGTAATCAGTGCACGGCTTCAGGTGTCCAGTTTTCCCCACTGGGATTTGATTCAACTGATCAGCTTGGATTATCTTTCCAGTCTGTGGTCGGCCTTCTTCAGAAACAGTCAGTGTGTAGTTACCACGGGGGTTTATTTCAATCTGCAAGCCAGACGTGTTGTTGTTTGTGACATTGTAAGAACCTGCAAAATGTTTGTCAGTAAGAATCAGTCAGTTACACTTTTTATCTCAGATAGTTTCTTCATTCTGATGTTGACCGTGATCAACATCATGGTGAAGATGAAAATACATTTTCTATAATCAGTGTAAAAATACTTTCATTGTGATTCAGAGTAAATTTAGAGAGAAATGCTGAGCAGCAACAACAGTGTTTGAAAACATTCAATAAAACTGATCTTTTAAACTGATACTCACACTGTGGAGAGGCTGAGAGGACACATTTCAATGAGATCAGAAAAGAAGAAAACAAATCATTAGTATATGATTATAATTATGCAATGAAAGTACCAGAAACACCTCAGAGCACCTTACAGCTGCTGGTACCTCAGAGGTGTTGGTGATCTCTGTCTGTACACTATATGTGAATTCAACAATCGTATCACAGTCCTGCATGATAAAAACAGAAACGTCCAACCTTTGGTCGTAGCTGCCACTGTGGTGGAGGGTGGAGTGACTGGAGGTGAGGTCTGGGTGTGAGAGCTGTTTGCCTGAGAGGCTGGTTGGATGCTGGATGTATTGGATGTGGGTGAGGTCTCTTTCGAGGTGATTGGAGGAGCAGTGCTTGCTGTTGGAGAGCATGCTTGGAGTCAGCTTTAGGCAGAAAAACCTAATGACAGCAGTCTTACCTGATATGCTGTTTAACATTTTAGGACTTTGACTTGTAAAAATAATAACTAATGCAAAACCTGAGCTGAGGCTGAATACATTACCAGATATAGTAGTTGAACTGGATTCTGGAAATGAAGAGTTTGATTGGGTGGAGGTGTTATTTGGCAAACTAACTGAAGAGCTGGAGGTGGTTGGGATGACTGTGATTGTGGAAGCAGGTGCTGTGGAAGTAGGTGCTGTGACCGTGGAAGGATTCACAGTGAGTGGAGGTGAGGTGGCGACTGACTGGTTTATTACAGGATCTGCACCCGTGCTTGGAGGTGAGGAGGCGACCAACATGTGTGTTACAGGATTTGTGGTCGTGCTTGGAGGTGAGGAGGCTGAAACATTTTCAATCCCAGAAAAAGAAGTAAGTATGACATCATGATGGTATTTTCATCAGCTGTGAAACGTGCTTCATGTACAGTTTTCCCTCCTCTCAGTATCAATATGCTACTTTTATATCTTTCCCCTCATTTACACCTACATATCTTTTCATGTTTGGGTAAAGGTGGATTTAATGTCACTGTGAATGTTATCCTATCAATAACTTAATGCTTTAGATAAACATAGTATTATCTTCTGTTGTACAGGTTAGACAATCATTGACTTACAAGTTACAATGATGGATAGACTTGCGTGTGCACGACTCTAACACTTGGAAAATCTAAATCTCATCAGTACTTTGGACTCTATGAGACACAATAAACCCCAAACATGACAGTGTACGACTAGAGCTACACACCAGCGGTCCCCAACCTTTTTTGCGCCACGGTCTGGTTTAATGTCAGACAATATTTTCACAGACCGGCCTTTAAGGTGTCACTGATAAATACAACAAAATAAAATGATATGACCGAGACAAAACCTGTGGCATTTTGTAAATATAATAATAAACGTGTAATTGTGTAACTTTATTAGCAGCGTCCTCCTGAAATGTGCCAACAACACTGAGAGCAACATCCTCCTCACTGCCCCTTAATGCTCCCTGGTTGCTATGGTAACACGTAAATATTTCTTACTACAACATGGGAAAGACCCCGGGAAACTGAGTTAATGATAAAAACCCTGAAAACCATGAATTCCAAACCCGAGCCTCAAATCACGCAGCCCGGTACCAAACGACCCGGACCACAGAGCGACTGGAGACCGCTGGTATACAGCATGTTAATTTGCTTTCATTCAGCTTCACAGAGGATAAAAATGATTAGGAAAATACTTGATCACATATATGTGATTACCCATTCATGGAAAATTATCTGTGCAAAACAGCTGCTATATGAAAACAAGGATTTCATCTTTTTCACAGTAAACCTATGATTAAATGAAGACAAAGAACAATACATTTTACACATTTTGCAAAAACAGAACTGTTTTTTGTTTTTGGTGTTTGCGTTTAAATTCTGTCTGACACAGATGACCCAGATCGAAGCTTCTGTTCATCAGTTTAAGTAAGAAGACACATGTCTGTCATTTCATAGTAAGTGTTTGAGGACTGTGTACATTTACACATGAGGCTGAGGGAGATGCATGCTACATCAGGAAGCACAGCAGGGGGACAACTGGAATTAAACAAGTCTGAAAACAACATAATAAGAAGTAAATGTTATAAACTGAATAACATCATAAATATATTGGAACTCACGTTTGCTGTCATCTGGAATTACAAGAGACAAGAATGTCAGAATTAGTGTTTTGGTCATGAAAACATTCACTGTGTATGCAGGAAAACACAAACAAACAAAAACACAAACAATGAGTGATTACTAAATATTTGTCATGATGACTACGAGAAGTGAACGACTATAGAGATTCAATAACATGATAAAGTATAATGGTACTCACTTGTGGTGGTTTGAGCTGTAATTAAAAGAGAAAAAAGTGTAAATCAGTTTGATTGTGATTAAATAATTTATTGTATTTGCAGGAAAAAGAAAACAAAACACATAAACAACCAGTGATTACTAAATAGTTTTACACATCCCTCTGTTGAACACAGCAGGGTGAACTTTGTTACCCAGCATCGTGTGGATGAGGTATCGCTGCTGTGTAACCTGGTTGCTATGACACTGTGACAAAGAGCCACAGTTGCTATATCAGAAAGCAAACCGCAGCTTCCTGCCTGCACTCCAACCTAGAACCGCCCCATACTTACAACACTGGTGTCGGTTTGGCCGCGTCACTGAACCAGACACAACCAAAAATACATTTTTAACCAAAGTGTTTCAATAAATACGGTTTCAGATAATATTTGTCAGGTATGAAGCTCTCTTTTGTTCTTTGTTTCAATTTCTCTTCTCTTAAAATCTGTATTTTCGATATTACAAAGAATAAAAAACAAATAAACACATTTGGATCATATTCACAAGTACATGAGTTAGTTTACTTTAAATGGGTTTGTTGATGTTGTCCATTTGTTCTTTATAACAATAGAAATGAGAACTGAATGACTGGGTGATTGGGGACAGTCAAACAATGAGACTCAGGATGTGGTTTTGGCGCGTTGTTGTTTCACTCAGTCGTGCAGAGATGCAACATGTTTGCAGCGACATTTCAGCGCCTCGCACAAACGCAGCTCATCGATTATTCGTTTGGAGATGACTGCAACAGGTTTAGTGAAGGTTTAGTGAAGGTTTATTTATATCATAACTATGTCGTTATGATGTGTTTGAAGCCCAGGAACGTAAACATAAAGAAAACCTTTTCTTCACTATTTAAAGTCGTTATTTAAACTGGTTTTAAATGTTTTCAGGAGAGTAGGTTTGTGATTTGCATGACAGTGTTGTAGTATTATGACAATCACAAATACAATAATGTGATTATCCCTGAATGCAGTAAAGACACGGACACAGTAACCAGCTCTGTCTCTAATTCATTGATTTTCTCTGTTTTACTGTTTTTCCTCCGTCTCATGTTTTGCGTTCACCACAGAGTCCTGCTCTGTGACACTCTCCTCCTCCCAGAAACGTTTTAAAGTCATGCTTAACATTTCTGACCTCATTTCTTCATTTTACACCCTGTGCTTCCCTTTTTTTTCCGCAAGTCATTTGCTGCGCGGTGCCTCGGCCTGCTCGGCCCGCGCTGCGCTGCCAGGAAATGAAGACGACTCAGAATGGCACACGGAAGTGGTCAAACTTTTTGATCACACTACTGCTGCTGCTAATGCAGGCGGCCTGTTAAACAGGGCCCAGCTTCTCTCGCCCAGTTTAAGCAGAAGACGCGTGAACTTTGGTATTTACTACTGAGCTGACACACGCGTGTAGTAATTCTTTAAAAGTAGTGAAAAAAGCAGGAAAATATAGAAAAAGATGAAGAAGTCGAGCAGAGTTTTAAACTATTTTTAAATGCGTTTAATATTAAAACACAATCATACACTGAGAGACATCTTTTTGGGAGATGTCTTTGAACTTTTTAAGGGACTTTCATCTCAAAGAGACATTAGATTAATAATGGCACAATCAAATTTAACTTTATTGATTAAAAATGTGGCTGTTTAGCGGTGTTCCTAATATTTTGTCTGTAACGATTACACGTATAGCTCGCTAAAGATAAATAATAAAGGACAAAATCAAATGTTATTAAAGTGAATTCAGATTCTTTAAACGTAATTAAGTTCATGTAACTAAATAAAAGTATATCTGCATTTATTAAAGTAAATATTTAAACACAGTTCACAGTGTTACGATGAACTGATACAATTTAATGTAAAAATCTGTTAAACTGTAAAACAATGTTAGTTTAATAAAAATAACAGTGAGTTAGAATAATAATATTTCAACATGAGTGCATGATGAGTATATAGTACAATAATTAAAATGAGATACATCACTAAACAGAAAATTTTGACATTTTGGTTTTGGACACTTTTATGTATTTAATTTTTTTTAATAACGGCTGATCAGTTAATTAATTAATGTGACTGAAAGGAAAACAACAATCATGTTTTGGGTGGATGATGACACACCTTCACACTGGCTGAGAAATTCTGTATGTTAGAAACGAACGAGCCAGACTGAGGGCAAAGACGATAAATGACAGATTTTATTTCAGCTCATCAGCACAGACTGGCTGAAAACAGCTGAGTTATAGATGAATTATGAGTGATGATGGAGGCAGTGAGGTCAGTGTAACTCAGCGTGCACGCGTGCACACGCACACACACTGAAATGTTTATCACACACAGCACCCACAGTCACTGAGGTGAAGAAGCAGCTTGCAGGGACACACCCCAGAAAATGTCTCTGCTTTCAGACAGACACAGCCCCCCCACCCCCACAGTTACACATATACAGTACACAATCACACATTCATACGTGCACGGTATCAAAGCAGAACAGAAACACGATTGCAAAAATTCCCAAAGCACCAAATAAAAGCATATGTTTTAAAGAGCGTCTTCTTCCTATTAACAGCCGCCTTTGATTGAACACGAGTGTTCGTTCTTTTGCCAAAGGGCTCAGAAACCTGTCATTTTTAAGCTTTCACATCACAGGCGTGTGCAGTTCCTGTCTGCTGTTCTTGGGGTTGGAAAGTTTAAGAAACGTGAAGTAGCTCAAACGCGGATGCATCTCCAAAGCGTGCTACAGCGTAGCCTCTGCCCTCGGTTTTTATTTAAAAGGTCACATTTTGCTTGATGATGTTTTACAGTTTTCAAAAAGTAAAAAAGCTTTTCAGCTGACAGATTCACGTCTCCATCTCACACAGGGATAATAATCCTCATACACAATCACAAGCTCAACATCCGACTTCAAACACAGCGAGTTTAGGGGGGAGACTTCATCACCTACATGATTTGCATTTGCAGACGTTTTTCTGTTATTTCTCCTCAGTTTACAGACACAGAGAGAAACTTCAAAGTCTTTCTACAATCCTTAAAGAAAGCAGCACCGAGAACACTGCAGATGGTCACTTACAGTAGGTCAAACCGATGATCCCGGCCCAGAACAGCATCTTCAGACCCCAAAGACCTGCCATGTCCAGGAGTCAGGGTGTGTACAGCCACACACCGTACAGTGAAAGCAGCCGGCAGGTCGTCGCACGCCAAAACCTATTTCCAAATCTTACCTCAATTCTAACCTAACATAGAAAAAGCTGTCTGTGTTAAAGCGACATAAGTTCTCTGTCTTATCGGTTGACACAGCTTCCTGGACTTGTTCCCCAAACTCTAAACCTCGCCTTTGGTTTCGAGTCGAGCAAGTGGCAGTGACGTCACACTGAAGAGACTGCCTTTACCTTAACGTCTGCTGACAGGAAGCATCATTTCAACTACGCCACTAAGAACAGGAAGCCTTCGCTCGTCTAATGTTCACTTGAATTTGATGAAGGGTGAAATCGCTCTGACCTTTGAAAAAGGAGGCTGATAGCTGCCAATACGGTCAAGATTTCAGTTTTAGGGTCGCGTCTGACATATTAGGCTCAAATAACACGAGGCACACAAATGGATGATGAGACTGATGAGAGCACGGCGAAGCCTCCAGGTTAAAGTTTCAGGCCCGAGTAATTTCTGTTTTATTCTTGTTAAACTTCAGCAACTTTGCTTGTGAGACGCGAGACAGAGAGTTGTGAAACTTCTTAGAGCACCTCGTCTTTTTCACTGACTCCTCCCCTGCAGGCCCACGACGGCTCGTCCGTGCAGTCAAAGCTAACAAGAACATATCACTGCAACGTGCAAGAAACCAGAGGCAGTCTTTCCTTTGTTAAACTCTGTTCTCTTTTTTCTTCTTCTCTCCTTCTAAAGACAGAAGACACACGGCCATTGGCTCCAGAAATGAATTTCTTCATTGCTGCAGTTCATCTCGCGTGAACGACATTTATAAGAGGCGTTAGATCTCTTCAAAGTCATTGATCGAGGATGGTGTTTGATCACCACGCTTTGCCTCGGAGCCCTAAAATGCTTTACTTCTGTTTACATACACAAGAAAATAGGGGATAAAAGAGGAAGGAGGGGAGTCGAAAACTCTCCGGGGAGACTCACACACGGGGGGGGGGGGCTGATGTAAAAATGGATGAAACACAGTCAGCTTTTCATGCTCTTATATGAAATAATGCAGGGAACTAAGCAGAGCCTTCTTTGTGCTGAGACGGTCGTACTGAGCTGATAAAACCTTTTACTTAAACTTACACAGCACACTTTGCATGGCGTGACAAGCTGATATGAATCACACAGTTATATATAGTCTATTTAAAAAAGAGCAGCAGTCATCGTCACATGATCTCCTTAATGTTTTCAGTCATTTTGAAGAAGAGAAAGTTTCTTCTTTCTTTCACTCTGAAACATTCGGTGGAAATTAGTTTGACTTCACAAACCCGGCAGAAACATTGTTTCCGACAAAGACATCAGCTTTTTTGTAAAAAATCTAAATATGGATTTCCTCCTAGACAAATGAAACACATGCATTTGGCTGTTTCCACTTCTCACAGTGCAGATTCTTGTAATCAGGAAGTGACTCTTAAGCAAACAGCCCAATGTTCATGTAATCAAATTGAAGCTGTTGTTACAAATAAAATGTGTCACTGCAAGACTGCATGAGGAGCGCAGTGTTGCTGTTAGTAGCTACACAGAAATGTAACCAGCGTAACCGCATGTCATTCATTAGATAGACACTGTATTTAGAAATGAAGGACATAATGTACCACGATGAAACCTGTGAATGTTGCTCGTGTTCACGTGTACGCCCTCCCCCCTCCCTCGCCAGACAGAAAAATACTTTTAATCACATTTAACTGCTTAAAATGCTGTCAGCACTCGAGCCTTTCAGAGCGAAACGATCGCAAAATCGGATTAAATTATTTTATCACAAGATATAATTTAAATATGATCTTTAAAGTATGTGCAGTCTGTTAAATTTAGTAAGAAACTACAAAGTTTTGTTGTTTAAAAAGTGAACAGTTCCTCCTGAGAAACCACTGAAAACTTGGGTTTCTTAAATATTGTATCAAAGTTAGATTGTTATCATTATGAAAAGAGAAAGAAGAAGTCGTCTGGCTACCTTTACCATCTATTAACCAACTAGTGACATGGTTACATGTAACATGGTTTTCTTGCAACAGTGGTTTTAATAATAGGACAGCGGAACAGTCCAAAGAATTACAGCCTCCTGACCGTCAGTATCCACGACAGGAAGGCCCGAAGCATTTTGTAATGTGACATAAATGTTACATAACAAACTTGTGTTTTAGTCAGGGTTAACAAGTCGGCAACAGCTGCCACTGAGGCAGGTGGAAAAGAGCCTGGAAGGCTGGAGGTATGCATTGGAGAGAGGAGGAGGAGGAAGGCTGAAGATGTTAATATTTTCATTGGGAGTGAAAACGATGGACAAGTTCAGACATTAGTATGTCAGAGGGACAGCTCAGCAGCAGAGTGTAACGAGGCAGCAGCTGCAGCTGGAGTCCAGAGACACGAGCTTCTCGAGATGTAGCTGAGCATTGGGGAAAGGAGCCACACTGACAGGAACTTCCACCAGGCAATGCAAATAAAGACAAAGATGTTTTTTCTGCAAGTTAAAATATTTCAAATAAAAAAAACCCGCTGGCTTCACACTGCACTGTGAAAACCATAAAACCATTAACTCGTCATCAGAAATAAAATAGACAGAAAGAAAACAGGGCCTGTGGAGAAACGAACAAAATCACAGGACTTCATTGTAAATTCTTAAAATAAGTTCCTGTAGCTTGATTTCACCTCTCAGTTCTTGGTCCCGTCAGCTCTAACAGGTGAAAGTGCATTCATGCACTCACATTTAGGTTTGGTGTGAGAGCTGTCTGACACCAAGTAGCAAAATCTGGCAGTTAAAAAAAACGAAGCAAAGCCAAAGTCACTCTAACGGTCACTCGTGACACACACGGCATTAAAACAGATGTTTACGGTCCTCGCGGTCCTTTTTTCACTTTAAATTTTCAGGGTGTCGTTACATCAAATCATTCCACACACATCCACATCAGAATATGTACCCAGCAGGATTTTTATTTCCCATTGAAGTCTGATGTGTTTTCAAAGTGCTCCTTTTATTTTTTGATCACACAATCATATTTAAAATTTCCCCACGTGCCCGTGTGCTTACAGGTCTTTATCCTCCAAGCTCAGGTCCTCTAACAGCAGCTCGGAGGTTCTGGACAGAGATCTTGGGTTTCGTTCCTGGGATCTGCTAAAGCTACTCGCTCAGCTTGGGGGTCAGTGCCCCACACGAAACTGTTGCCTTCATTCGCCGCATCATCCTGATCTCGTCTCTCACCCTTTGTACTTCGAACTTCTCTTGTTCCTTTTACCTGATGGTGCTTTTGCTCATATAGCTACATCTATCAGTACGAAGCTCTGCCTCTGCTTGTCCACCACGACTGTGTCTGGTTGGTTAGCCTGTTTGTCCTTCTGTATGTGGAAATCTAACATACAGACAGACAAGATCTAAGTTCAGTCATTCTCAACCACCATAGGGGGCGTGTCCTATTTTGACCTCAGGACTTACAGGCCATACAGATGTTGCCTGCTAGCATCTTGTACCCTGCTGTTATGTGCTGAATAGTCTCAGATTGTCTCACATCCCCACTGAATTTCTGATGGAAGCTCATAGTTGATCTTGTAAAGTTGTAGGCATTCTAGGATCCATGTGTGGGGCATCAAGTCATAGTGCCATGGTCCGTGGCCCTATGTCTGAGGAGTGTGTGTGATGCCCTGGTGGCCACACCCCCGGGCTGGGCCATCACCTGCACACCTGCTTTCCATTCTGGGCAATTACCTGGAGGACTCTGTAACCCTGCGCTGACGGATGCTCCACACCAGTCTGTTAGTCACCCCTCAGTGGTAACTAGGCTTCCCACAAAAGCTTTGTACATATGTGTCACTTGAACTACGTTAATTCTGCCTTCGTGTGCCTAGGTTACGATCCGGCGTTTGTGTCTGCCACCTGCCTGCTCGGATCACTCAGTCTGTCCTCATCCCTGCCTCCTCGGATTCGCTTACCACGGACACACCTCCCCCCCTTCCAAGTCCCACTGTCCCGCTCTGATCGTAAGCCAATTAGTAAAGCCCTGTCTTGTTGTGTCTTTCTATTTCCCGGCTCACTAGTATTTTCTCCCCTTTCTGTTGCATCTCCCACGGTCCCGATTATGGCTTCCCTGTGTCGTTTATCTTCCCGGTTTTTCTTCAGTTCCTCGTTTTGCTTCCTTGGTTGTTCCAGGTCACCTTTTGTTAAAGCAATAAACTGTTTCTTGCTCGCATTTGACATATTGAGGCTGCTGTTGGATCCCGCTTGTGTGCGTGCACTGCGGTGCATGACACATAGGCTTTCTTATAGTCATTCCAGGTGGTCCACAGGTTGGTGAGCCTGGTCTTGCAGTCTTGGGTGACTGCTCTATTAACCAGTAGCTGGTGTTCCTGCCAATCCCTTTCTGTATTGAGCCATGTGCCCCATCATCTTAGCCCCTATGATGCCTGACAGGAGCTTCCATGTGGTGCTGAGGCAGGTTATTAGTAGTTGGATGGGACCGGACTGATTTTGCCTGATTTTAGGCATTTTGGGTGTCTCTCATCATTTAGCATTGGGTTCATTTGTGCTGCCAGACGCTCGTGGAGTGCAGTCAGCTTCTTCAGCCAGTAGGCATGAACCATGTCGGGGTCTGGTGCTGTCCAACTCTTCATACTGAGACCCTTTCTTGGGTATCTGCCACTGTGATGGTTACTGGAGATTGCTGTGGTCTGCTGTTAGAGCTGCTAGCCTCTGAGGTTTGTTCTTTCCCTTCCTTCATCCCACCTGTCTGCAGCTCCTATATTTGCTACCTTCCCTCTGCACTGCCTTGATCTTCGCCTCTAGTCTTCTTCTCCATGGAGGGTATTGTTCCTTGTGGCTGTTGACCTTGTAGCATCTCAGTGATCATAGCTGCCGTGGTGTAGATCAGCTGATTAGTCTTGATGATGTACCAGTAGGGATTTTTTTTAATGCTGCATCCACATCTTCTAGTAGCCCCTCAGAGGGTACTTCTTGGTAATAAGCCATGAATTTCTAGCTTGATCATGATCTCTGAGGTCAGCTGCTCTTGCATTCGCACTTTCAGTTGTACTGATCACAGACGAGTGCAAGGAGCACACTGATGAACAGGCCTGACGTACCACCGTTTAAAGTGCTGGAACAGCTTTGCAGAAAGTTAAACTGATAACCAGGTCTTTACACACTGCAGTTAAACGGTTAATGAGGAACAAACGTGTCAGCTAGGAATCCAATAGGAAATGGAACTGGGCCCACCTTCAGGAGGATTTTTTAACCACAAGCTCAGCAGATAGAAGGTGAAATTAAAAGAGAGAGGCAAAGGAGTAGAAGAAAGAGGAAGCGAAAGAA